TCATCCAGTTCTGTATATTATCAGTCATTTACTTTCTGCGAGCATCTAAAATATTATTGATATTTTCCATCTCTACGGTGTTCCATGGGACAGTAATTTACTTGAATCTAGAGAAATGTGGCTCTCCTGGCTCTGTAATGATCTAGTATCAGAACTGGTTCTAGAATTCTTGGTTGATGGCTCTTAGGTTTAATCTTTAGAAATCACCAAGGCTACTAAATATTTTAAACTTTTTAATGCAACAAATGAGATTTTCATTCATTAGAATCACCCGGATAATTCAAACTATGACTTTGAATAGATAGATGCAGACCTAGCAGGCAATGTAAGCTACATTTTCTGGTGGTAATTTTCACTGGCTGAGTTTTCCAACAAAATCATGAACTACAGTTTGATATACATTCAAATAAAGAAAGAAAGAACAGGGTTTAATTTTGGAGAATTCATTTTGTTCACCATTTAAGACAGTCTAGAAAAAACAGTTATTCAATACTGTTCACAGATCTGTGTTGAAAGCAACTAAAATTGATCTCAGGTTTGACTTATCTCTTGGGATCTGAAATTTCTTTTTAAAAGAACATGGTATTTGAATTCTATAAAGAAGTACTTACAGCAAGGGTGGAGTAAGAATCCAAGTCACTGAGGTAAAAAACCCAGAAGGTAACTGTTATTAAATTCTATCCAAATGTGCTTATCAGACTTCGGCATGACTAAAAGATTTCCCATTATAGTTTTGAGTTTCATCGAAGAATAAACTTGTGGAAATATGCACAGGCTTACTGCTAGACCTTTTCAGGTGTGGGCAAAAACTGAGGGTGGAATTTGCTTTGTTGTTTGTACTACATGGAAACTTTGGCTCTTATGATAGGTGAGGATATGTTATTATATCTGTCTCTGAGAACACCTTGAGCCAGATGCTGTAAGTTGGGTAGGTTTTTGAAGATATGTTAATTCTGATTTTGCCAATGCCTCATTCAGTGACTGCTTCAGTAGCTCTGTCTCTAAGAAGGAAGAAAATGAATTTCTTAATAAGCTAGTTTACAGTGTAGGAGTCACCTAGCAGTGATATTTGATTACTCCAGATGTCAGATCCAAAGCACTGCCTTCTGTATTCTCTACCATTCCTTACTTAAATATTTCTATATTAGTTTCTCATAATGTATTAATTCTGGGGTGGTGACATTGTCTTTAAGAAACTGCCCATTAAAAAATGTTGCCTTTTAAAGAAAGAAGTGATTGAACTCACTACTTTTCTCTGTGTCTTTTGTTTAATTGTGGCAACTTTTTATTTCTTAGAAAGGCACAAGACTTACATTCAGAGGAGTGATTTGAATCTTGGCCTTCCTATCAATTGGATGTGATTTGGGGCAATTTACACAGTGTATTTTAGCTTCATTTGTTTCATCTAAAGACAGAGGTGGTAATAATTCTCAGGGTTGTTGTGATGTTAGATGACATAATCCGTGTCAGGGCCCATTATTGTGCAGTGATCTGTAGGTAGTATGAGCATGATAGTCCTGTACCTAGCTAGCTGACAGTTTATCCAATGAAGGTAATGACTATTTAGTATCACTATTTTTTTTTTTTTTTTTGAGACAGAGCCTCAAGCTGTCCCCCTGGGTAGAGTGCAGTGGCATTACAGCTCACAGCAACCTCCAACTCCTGGGCTCAAGGAGTCTCTCCTGCCTCCGCCTCCCAAGTAGCTGGGACCACAGGCGCCCGCCACAACGCCCGGCTATTTTTTGGTTGCAGCCGTCATTGTTGTTTGGCGGGTCCGGGCTGGGGATTCGAACCCGCCACCTTAGGTGTACATGGCTGGCGCCTTAGCCAGTTGAGCTATAGGTGCCGAGCCGAGTATCACTATTTTTAAATACTGTCTCGCCCCTGAAGATAAGATTCATCTGGAATAATCGTCAAATGCTCTTTTATTTATAAATGTGTATTCTTAGGTGTCTTCTCTCTTTTCTATCTCTATGTGCTTAAGGGAAAGGAGATTCTACTAAGGTAGGAAGCTCTTTTACCTCTCTTTAATTGTTTTTTTTTGGGGGGGTGTTTGTTTCAGGTTAATTTGCAGGTACAAAGAATTAGGTTACAATGATTGCATCTGTTAGGTAGAGTCCCTCTTATAATTGTGCCAAAGAGGTGGCTAGATACCCCCTGACTTTGTGCCCATTAAGCGGGAGCACACACATCTCCACCCTTCTCCCCTCTCCTCACTCCCTTGTTTCCCCACACCCCCTCCCACCTTGAATGGATTTGAGTTTTTTTTCTTTATGTGGGCACACATTAGATCATCTACTGGCTTCATATTAGTATTGAGTACCTTGGGTGCTTTCCATTCTTGTGACACTTTCCTAAGAAGAATGTGTTTCAACTCCATCCCAGATAATACAACCTCCCTTTAATTGTTGATGCACAGAGTGCTGTTAGAATAATGCCTAATAATGGCCATGACTTAAGTAGTGCTAACTGTGTGCCGGGACTTTCCAATATGAACCTACTCCATCCCCACAGTACCCTGAAAAGTGGTATTCCTATTCCTACCAGTGTGAGAATGGTAAAACTGAGAGATACAGAGAGGTAAACTGATTTAACATTACATATGTCATCAGTGTTACAAGTCACATATGAATTTCTTATGCCCTTCCTTTTAGTTCTTAAGGAATAATATATCAGAATAAAGGAATTCATGAACACAACTTGGGTCTTGGCTACAAAGCAAGGCAACTCCTCTTGGAAAAACTGATGCTGCCTGTCTTCATGTTAGGATCATACAGAGATTGTTTCTTATTTCTCTTCATCTTTTAAAAAATGGCGCTTATTCCTAGATAAGTATTGTCAATTTACTAGGATTGCTCTTCTTATCTGAGCCCGAAGTGTACCAACAGGAAGCTAAACTAGTCAGAAAGAGTCATCTCAGCTCTGTGCAAGTTAAAATACTTGGAAGAAAGGGCCCCCAAGTCTCTCACCGAGATGTGTTCCAGCCCAGCACTCTTTAAGACCTGGTCATACTGCATGTGGTCATTCTTTAGGCATGTGTCCCTTCATTTAAACTACTCACTTTATTATCTTTATTATATTTAAATATCTTTGTTATATTTAAACTACTCACTTTATTAGGTTGTATTTTCCTGGATGGAGTTGAAACACATTCTTCTTAGTGAGTAGACAGAAAAGAAAATCATCTCACAAATAGAAAACACAACTGCTCTGAATAGTACTACAAAGGACGGGAACATGATGCTCCAGGGATAGATAAGAAAAGGCATTTGTCAGACATTTGATGATCGTAATTTGTTTTCTATTGTCTCTTTGGTCTTGCACAAGAGGAGGAACAGAGAATAGGCAAGTGAGAAAGACTGGAGAGGAGCAGAGTTGGCAAGCCAGAACGTTGCGTAACACAAAATGGCCCCAGGGAAAACAAGAAAGAAAACCTCGCTTGAACAGTGTAGCACATTTATTAAGTCTTTGAATATTTCACTGTATGATAGAAGAGTAAACAATATTTGTAATAACTACTATTTTTTCAAGAAAAGTTACTGCATATTCATTCCATTCAACTCAGTGAAAGAGGGAGAATTATAATACATGTAGAGTGATTTCCATTAATGTGCTTAAAGTAGTTTTGTTTGAAAGTTTATGTGGTGAGTCAGATGTCAATTGATTTATGCAGAATCTTGGATAAATGAGATTATTGCTGTCATTAATACAGTACTTGAAGGAGACAAGAATACTAAGAACTGGGGAGCAGGCCCTAGGTAAAGAATAACGAACAGATTCTAACTGTTTAAATTAGTGGAAATGGGATAATAGCATTTCCCCAGTCTACTCGGGAAGTTTTTTTTCCACATATATAATCCAATTAATATTTACTGTGACCCACCTTGTGTACTGGCAGTATGGTGATGAGCAAAGGAGATATGATCTTAGAGCTCTAGAACTTCAGGTTCAGTAGGAGGAACCAACATGCAGGGACCCTGGTCTTTAATATTGCTGTTCCCTTGGCCTGCACTCCTGTTCCCTGGTGTGCTCCTGTTCCCTCACTTTAGTTAGCCCTCTGCTCAAATGGTACCTCTTGGAGAACTACCCATTGTCTTCACCATTCAGGTCACTCTCCATCTATCCCATGCTTTACTTTTTCCCCACCTTTTATCTGTCTCTGTATTATATCCTTATTACTGGTTATCTTTAGGTCTAAGACTTCAGTGTAGGAAACCTTTCTGCAGACACTTTGTCTTTCCTGTCATTGAAACACATGCTGTTTAGAATGGGGCTCAGCATGTTACAGGCACTCACTAAATATTTACTGAATGGAGGTGTAAATGAGATGATCACAGAAGTATATAATTACCATGGTAAACAAATAGGATAAGTGAGAGTACTTTCAAAACTATAAATACTCCCCACATGCAAGGTGATGATGTTTATTTGAATTTTAGAAAAAAAAATGTAGTCTTCAAGAAGAAAACCTTTTTATTTTTCCTACTGGTAGCTTTCTATTTAAACATTGACTTCCTAAGAGTTTCTCTTCCTTTGTATCTGTGGTTTATAATATTGAGCTCTATTTTTATGGTTCTGTAACCTCCTACTTCAGTTGCTCTTTGAAGTAGAGCTTCCTAACCTGGGTTGATGAACCTTTGTGAAATTCACTGTTGGCCCCTGAGGCCTCCGTTGTTCCTTGAAGTTGTGTGCAGTGCGTAGCACCCGAATGCATTTTGCTGGAGACAGTTTTCATGACCGTCATCAGATTTTCAGAGTATATAACCCTGTAAGTTTAAAAAGCATTGCTTTGGATTTTTTTTTTTTTATCTTTTACTTTTTGTTGCCTATTGGTATTTCTTTTTCTCTTCAAGACGGTTTTGTTTTCCTTTTAATTATCATGCTTGTATTTTGGTGTTTTTAAATGTTTACTGTCTGGTGGTCCCTGATGTGTGGTATTCTTGGTTTATTGTACACATCTGACCTCAGCCCTTTCTGTCTCTTTTTTGTCTGGCCAACAGTGTGGGGATGTGCCAACTGCAGAGTTGTCCTATCCAGCCCTTCTGGGACCTTCACTTCTCCCTGCTACCCTAACGACTACCCTAACAGCCAGGCTTGCATGTGGACCCTCCGAGCCCCCACTGGCTACATCATTCAGATAACGTTTAATGACTTTGACATTGAAGAAGCTCCCAATTGCATTTATGACTCATTGTCCCTTGACAATGGAGAGAGCCTGACTAAGTTTTGTGGAGCAACTGCCAAAGGCCTATCATTCAACTCAAGTGCCAATGAGATGCACGTGTCCTTCTCAAGTGACTTTAGCATCCAGAAGAAAGGTTTCAATGCCAGCTACATCCGAGGTATGTAAACCAAAGGCCACGCCAACCTTCTGCTTTCATTTAACATGTTCTACAATAAACACATGGACCACAAGACAGAATTAAGCTCTTTTATGTGTGTGTGAGTGATTAGGATTAGGATTTAAGGGCAAGAATCTGTTACTATTCTCTGAGCTTTCTCATTAGCAAAACATAATTACCAGCCCCCAAATCTTGTTACAGTAGAGCTGAATGCTTTTATATTGTTTCTATGCAGAACATTTAAAGGTGAGGCTGCTTAGAAGATACTGTAGATATTCCACTAATTAAAATCTGTAATTCTAACATCTCTCCACTGATAATTTAAAACATCTCTATTTAGCAATCATTTTATTTTGGGCTTTTAGAAGGTTGCCCTTTTAACTGTGTATGCTAGAGGACAAATATACTAAATTAGCATATGAACGTTTTAAAAAGCCAATAATAACGTAACATAATAAATAACATAACCTGAGAAAATCCCCTGGAAATTGCTAACTGAGGAAAATAAAGCATATTTTTTATTAAATATGTTTACTATATTCTGGCACAAGAAAATATTTACATCATCTCATTCTGTCTAAAACCTATCTTTGCTTATAAGAGATTTAGTTTCATGTTTTTGTTTTTTCTTTTTGGGCTTCCTAGGATGTTCTATGTGCAGTATAATAAAAACAATAAAAAAGAGAGGCACAACTATTGAAATGGCTAACCCTCATTATTATAAATTGTGTTTTTTGCCTGTGGAGTTATTGATTGTTCATTATTGACATCGAGTGCATACGTGTTTAAAACTCATGCTTTAATTTTTCAAAAATAAGGTTTAAAAAATAAAAAGCAAATTAGAATTACCTGTATATCCACCACCCAGCCATTACTACTGATAAAATGTTTATGGGGGTATTTTCCTTTCAGGGTTTTTATTTTGACAATGCATTTAGAATATTGGATTCATATAAGTATCTCTTGCATAAGTAGATCTATAAACTGCTTTATATTTAAAAAGGAGAGTAAAATCTGTAATTTTTTTGGATTCTATCATGGATTTTTACTAGCGTATTTATATTGAGATGATGTTTTATTGTAGAATAACTCTCGGTGTAACCGTAGGGTAGAAGGTGGCATAGAAACCTATGGGAAGAGTGAGAGGCAATTGTTAATGCAAGACTAAAACAGTTTTGTTTATACGTTACTTGCAAAATCACATATTTTGAGAATCTTAATGTATAAACAGAGGCTTTCTAAAGCCAGTTTTCTTCTTAGCTAGTTAGTTGGGTTTCTTTTTTTTTCTTTTTTCTTTTTAAATTTAAGGGATAAAAAGTAGTTACCAAGTTGGCTGGCTGTCCCTCAGAGGTTTAGATGTGAGAGGCAACCCTGATTAGAGTTAAAATGGATGGGGTCTCTTATTGTTTTACTACAGGAGAAACAGGATAGATAAAAGGTGAGTGACAGAGGATGAGCTAGAAAGAGGGAGAGGGGGATGAAAGGTAGATGAAAAACTAGGAGAGGGGCTCGGGGCCTGTAGCTCAAGTGGCTAAGGTGCCCGCCTGCCACATACACCAGAGCTGGCGGGTTCGAATCCAGCCTGGGCCTGCCAAACAATTACAACTACAACCAAAAAATAGCTGGGTGTTGTGGTGGGTGCCTGTAGTCCCAGCTACTTGGGAAGCTGAGGCAAGAGAATTGCTTGAGCCCAGGAGTTGGAGGTTGCTGTGAGCTGTGATGCCAGAGCACTCTACCTAGGGCGACAGCTTGAGGCTCTGTCTAAGAAAAAAGAAAAGAAAGAAAAACTAGGAGAGGGGTGGGAGGCTTGAGTCTGTCCTAGGGCTTGCATCTCATTCATCTGTGTTTCAGAAGTACTATGTCTTATGTCTGTACATTTTATCCTAGTTGCTGTGTCCTTAAGGAATCAGAAGGTCGTTTTACCCCAGACGCCAGATGCCTACCAGGTATCTGTTGCAAAAAGTGTCTCCATCCCGGAGCTCAGCGCTTTCACACTCTGCTTTGAAGCCACCAAAGTTGGCAGTGAGGACCCTGAGTGGATGGCTTTCTCTTACTCCAGTCCATCCCTCCCACACGCCCTCAACTTTGGAAAAGCCAAGAGTGGCTACTTTCTGTCTATTTCTGGTTCAAAATGCTTGCTGAATAGTGCATTCCCTGACACGGAAAAAGAAGACATCTTCACCGAAAGCTTCGAGCAGCTCTGCCTCACGTGGAATAATTCCTTGGGCTCTGTTGGCGTCAATTTCAAAAGGAACTATGAAACGGTCCTGTGTGATTCTACCATCAGTAAAGTTATTCCTGGGGGCGGGAGATTGGTGTTGGGCTCCAATCAAAGTGAGATTGCATCTCTCAAAGGGGACATTTACAACTTCCGACTTTGGAATTTTACCATGAATTCCAAAATCCTCTCCAACCTCACCTGTAACATGAAAGGGAATGTGGTGGACTGGCAGAATGACTTTTGGAATGTCCCGACCCTCGCTCTGAAAGCTGAAAGCAACCTAAGCTGCGGTGAGTCTGTGACATGCTCTTATTTTTTTAGCATTGCTTGCTGAATGTGTTTGTCAGGAAGAAATTGTGCATATAGCCATGTGTGTGTACATACACACATAGAGACCTATTTAAAAAATTTGCCATCAAAGAGCTCTTTTAATTTAAAAAATGTTATCTGTTTAGCTATTCATAGCATGTATTTGATTACAGGGTGTGAAGATTCAATCAAAATGTTTGGTCTTCCCATTATTTACTTTTCCCTGTGTCATAAATTATCACCCCATTTATCACGAGCGTATCAACCGTTGTAATTATTGAGTTTCCAATACAAATGTTAACACTAGGTTTAACACAAAGGCAATTCATTATTGTTTTTAGTCACTAGGTGATAGAGTAATAACCTGGTCTTTATCATTCTGGAATAACATTTCAGTTAGATTACTTAAATAAACAATTGCCACCTAAGGGAATAGTATTTACCATAAAACCAGTATTAAATAGCAAAACTGTTCGTTTTATGGAAATTTTTGATAATTAGGAATTATCCATTTTCTTTCTGAACTTTTTTCTCTATTTGTTCAAAACTGAGCATTTGTAATTTGTTTCAAATATATTCTTCTCTTTCTGATTTCTCTTCAAGAGACTGTAAGTGTGCTATTATTAGAAATAGGTCAGTGCAAAATCAGGGGGAATTAATTATGTAGCAAAAAGTGTATGAAGATAAACTTCCATCAGATATGCTCTGTGTACACATGTTAATTTTTGTAGTCCTTGTTATACTATAAGACTGATTCAAACACAAAAAAAATAGAAGTTTCCTTATCAATTATAAATATCATATATGAGTGAATCTAAGGCGTTGATAATATGTTCTTTTTGGTCACAGAAGTAACTCAGTAGAAAAGGGAGGAAGGGGCCTAGTGTCTGTAGATAATTTATATATGACTTTGGAGGGACATTTACCAGGAATTTATTCCCGTACTTTGAACAAAGAGGGACCCATTGTGAAGACCTGAGGCCATCTCCCTAGTTTCTCAGACCTGTGCCTGCCCTTCCGACCCAGGAAATTCCTGCCACCTCCCCCTCCGAGTGGATCATCCACCTGTTTGTGTGGTCCGTGGCACTCCCACAGATGGTGGGGAGCTGCCGAGTGATGTCATTGGGAAGAGATTTCCTAGTGGGATGTTGCGAAGAGGGAAAACCACATCCCTGTTCCAGAAGGAGACAGAGGAACTTCATAATAGCTAGGAGTGGTCCTCAAGATCCTTTCTCAGTCTAAGATTAGAGAGGACCTTCAGGTACTCCTGAAAAGTCTTTCGCTCAGAGAAGAAACTGAGGTCAAGTGCGAGTGTTTGGGGTGGGACGGTGAAGAGCAGAAAGAGTGGTTGGACACATCCTGCACTCCCTGTCATCGTTGTTAGTCCCAGGCCCTTTTCCACCATGTACTTGGCCATTATTAAAATGTCACAGTAGAGATCATTCTACTACTTGCATTTTTACGAGAAAATATGGTGAAGACTACAGCAACTAAAACAAATTTTGCTGGTTGTATTAATAATCGGTAATGCATAAAAGACACGTGAATTGGGCATGTGCTGTGTTCTGGACACCACTGCTGGCACTTTACATATATAGACTGAGTTCCTACATCGTGGATCCCATGCTGTGCATTCTAATTTTCACCTTAGTTTGCAGAGGAGGGAGGTGCACAGAGATTCAATAACTTACCCAACGTCACTTGAATCAGTAAGTGGCCAAACTTAGATTTGAACTTGAAAAGTTTGGTTTTAGAGCTGTGTTCTCTAAATGGTATAACTTAGGCTGTCCTTCGGCATAGGAGGGACTAGATGTGACTTAGAACAAGGGCAAGTGAGCTAATTCTTTCCCAGGGAGGAGTATAGGGGCCCATCTCTTCTGACCAGCAGTGCATTCTGTGACAAACGGTAGCTTTACAGGGTAATGAAGTATTTTTTTTTAAATAAATTCAATAAGGTTTCTTTCCTGAAATGCTTCTTGGATACCTTCATATGACTAAGGTATTAGGGCTATATTATTTAACGGATTCCTAAATTTCTGTAAGAAATCCTCTAGCCCAGAGGTTGGAAAACTGGGAGGAACTGTGACAGGTCACTTGTTCTTGTTTAATAACTCTTTTCAAAAAAAAAAAGATAGAGTTTCACTGTGTTACCCAGGTTGGACTTGAACTCCATTAACTCAAGAGATCCTCTTGTATTAGCATCTTGAAAAGAGAAAGTAGCTGGGGCTGTAGGCTTGGGGCCCCAAGCCCAGCTCACTGGTTTGGTAAATAAAGTTTCACTGCAATAAATAAATAAAGTTGTTCCCATTAGTTTGTGCACTGTCTGTGGCTGCCTCTGTGCTGCAGTGGGTGAATCAACTGAATGTGATAGATAGAGCATGGCCCCACCATCCTAAGATATGTACTGTCTAGTTCAGGGGTCCTCAAACTTTTTAAACAGGGGGCCGGTTCACTGTTCCTTAGACCGTTGGAGGGCCGGACTTTGGGCCCCAGGATGAGTCAGCTGCTAAGCAGGACAGGCAGTGGTGGCAAAAAACACCCAGCAGGCTGGATAAATGTCCTAGGTGGGCCGCATGTGGCCCATGGGCCGTAGTTTGAGGATGCCTGGAGTTGTTTAAGAGAACATTTGCCAACCCCCTGAAACTGGTCTAGGGAATCTCAAAGGTCCACTTTGCTGAAGCCCACACTTTGGACAGCAATAGAAAAAACCTACTAGATCTCCTGGGCCAGAGGGAATAAACCAGTCCCCTACAGGCTAGTTTAGCCCTTCGAGCTCTGTGGGATAGCTTATGTTCTTGCTCATTTACATTAGTTCCACACAGTGCTTTTAAATGACGAATCATTTCCCACATTAAAAAAGTATATGTCACATAAAAATGAATTTTTGGATTTCTCTGGCAAGCAAAATACTAACACCAGGCTAATAGCTCTACCTGGCTAACCCAGCTAGAGGTAAATGATGGCTGCTCCTTGTGAAGGCTCTTCCCAGCTCACTGCAGCCCTTCGCACCCCCGGTCCAGCCCCCTTTTTGTTAGCAGGTGGCCCTCTGGCCCCGTCGTATTTGAGTTTGGGGTACTGATTTAGGCCATTCCCTTCACTTTATATAGGGCAGGAAACTGAAGCTTAGAGAAAAATCAGCATCTGAGGCATTTGGTGGCTAACACACGTCATATCTCCCTGTCCAGTGTTTATATCTAATAGTCCCCACATTTAAAAAAATATTATTTTTACATTATTTTAATTGACAATTGAAGATTGTATTTATGGCGTATACATGGTGTTTTGATATATATCTATACCCATGGGATGGCTAATTTGAACTAATTAACATTCACCCTTCATGTGCTTATCCTTGATGAATGTTTGTGGGGAGAACCTTTAAAATCTACCCACTTAGCAATAGTTGAGTATACAGTAATGATTAACTATAGCCCACCATGTTGTGTACTAGATATCCTGAACATTCCTCCGAACTGAAATTTTTCATCCTTTGACCAACATCTTCACACCCCTTCTCCCCCTTTACCCCCTCCCTCGCCCCTGGTAACCACCGTTCTGCTTTCTGCTTTTATGAGTTTGACTCTGAGTGAGATCACGCTGTCCTCATGTTTTCTTAAACACTGTCCTTCAGACTCCTTTCCCAAGCCTCAAGGCTACTGGAGGGCGTCACATACCTGCCCGTTTACTCCAGTCATCGCTAAGCTTTGTACTGATTTCATCAAAGGAAGAGCCCGAGCTTACAGAGTGTATATATATTTGAGTCTCTTCAACTTTGATAGCCGGCTTCTTGACATTCCAGGATGCCGTGAAACATTCTCATTCCGGACATTCAGATGTCCTGGGCTGGGTTTCGGGAGTACTGATGGCAGAGGGAATTTCCTCCTGCTTAATCATCAGCTTTGGGAGTTGAAGAACCCCAGTCACTCATTAACTGACAGGAAATACCTGTTACAGAGATTATACCTAGGCTCGTTAGCTAAACAAAACTTCAGTAAGTGAAAAAATTATGCTCTATTAACATTTTAACCTTTCACTTTTCCCCCCAGAAAGTGAACGTGGCTTGCTGTTTAGGGTATCATCATTTCCAACAAACTAATGACCAGTACAGTAACCAATGGGAAAACAGAATTTCACTCCTAGCTTTCCACTGGACTGACAACGTTGAATCTGAGCTTCTTATTTCAGGATTAACTTGTAATGGAAAAATGAATAGATTTTCCAAAAAAAGTATTGCTAAGGAAACTTTAATATAAAAGTGAGATAGAATAGAGTTGACTACAATAAACATTAAAATCTCACTTGTTTTACATATTAAACATCCTAGCCTTAATAAAATCAATATTACTAACAAATGTTCAATAATTTTAAGGTTGGACTTTTGTGTTTTCCTGTACTTCTCTAAGTATATTTGGGGAATGTAGCTTCATTAAGAAATTTACAGCAGATTTTTTTGAAACATGGTTAATCTTGTCATTCCTTTCCAGAAAAACATGCCTTATTTAGAAATAATTATTTATTGTATAGCGTCATTTTTCTTAGAACATTTTTATTAAGCATAGTCCTGTTTTATTATCTCCATGGGTAGATATCAGATTTCTTTAGTGAACTCTTTAATTGTCGGTGCGAGTATTTGCCTGTGTTCTGATTCGAGTTTAGATACTGGCTAATGTCCATCATTTTTCACAAAGAACAGACCGTGCCTTCCCTACCAGTTTTATTTATCTTACTGATTACTGCTTTTCCTGAGGAGTGGTACCGTATAACTCAATGAATAGTCTCAGTTCAAACAAATAACATCCATTTAACAAGCATTTATTAGGCACTTCCATCTATTAGCTACTGTGGACCCAGAGATAAGACACAATTCAAAAGTACTCAACTTTGTTGTTATTCCTTTCTAGAAATTTCTGGATCTGTACTTTCGTTTTTATCTCCAGAATTTTGTACCCAGTTCGCTAAGGCTCCATCCACTGTTGGAGTCTCACTATTTTGTCATTGTCAGTTCTGTCCTTTACAGTGGTGAGACTCTGGTTTACATTGATTCCTCCCTCCCATTCCTAACAATTTACTGAGTTTAGCATTTCTAGATTACTAACTCATTTTCCATAAAAAAATTAAGGTAAAAAAACTTTATTCCTTGAGGATGCCCAAAGTCTTTGTGAGCAAAGATGACTTTCAGGAATAATTCTATTTTAAACATATTTATTTATGAGGTTACACAATTCGTCTTAGGTAACCACTGCAGGAAAAAAGTGGAAGAAATTATTATTCTTTTTTCTGTTACTGCAGCTTGCGGTGAGGCTTTAACTCTACGGTTATCTGGATTATCTGATTAAGTAGGTGTGATGTGAGCAGTTGGCCACATACCAGTCTTTTTTTAGCACAATGTGTATAAATCTATAGTGACTGCTTTCAGCAATTTGATTTTGGAAGAACAATAATAAAGAAGAAAAGTTAACACCTTTATAGCTTTTCATCAGCTGTCTACTTTCTGTGATTATGTTATTTTTCAAAACAAATCTTGGCTCTATAGTTTGCCATTAATATTAAGTGAATGCCTGAAAACACCTCTGTGGTAGCCTCAAAAATCAGAACACATTCTAAAAACGATTTGTCGAAGGTAAATATTACTATGTCACTATCCAGGAGAGGGGGTTGTCTCTTCTCCCTTGACAGTCTCCTGGTTTATAAATCCGTCAGCCTAGGAAAATTGTGACATTGACATTTTTATGCAGAGAGATGCCAAACATGGAACTAGGTAGAAATGAAATGGTTATGTATAGTTTTCAGATTTCACGTATCGTAGAAACTGGTGCATTTGTAACGTGGGAGTTCATGTGTCAATTTAATGTCCTCTAAGTTCATCACTTGTATTATACTGTTTTTCATGTTGAGAAAATCTTGTAATTTAATTTCTGTTGCTATATCCGATCATCATAAAACAGTGTTTATTTTATTTAAAGCAATGTGCATTTGCTAAACTAGAAGTCCCCCAAAGGAACAGCTGATTAAGATCTTGAGAGGTAAATGTTAACATTTCCCAGAATAGGATGCCACACATTGAAATTTATACTTTTAGCTACTGATGGAGCTCTTGATCTTAGCTGTTCGGATTTTCTCTCCTAACTTCCAGGCTAAGTGTTGACACAGGTCGGTGGAAGTGTAGTTCGCCTAACGCATTCTTTCCCACAGCACTGGCTTATCTCCCTTTGTCTTCCCCAGATACTGTATCAGTGCCAGAAGTGGCCTAAGGAGCCTTGGCCTGCCAACATTTGTGTAATTGGAGATTCACAGGAACTCCATCCAGCGGTCTCCTCAGTTGCATGTTACAGTGGCTGATTTATTAGTCACTTTGAGCGTCAAAGGCCTTTTTAGTTTCTGGAAGTCCCTTTCTAAAACCCGAGTACCTACAGAAGTGGGGTCCCACACAGAGCAGGCACAGGTGAAGTGCTATGCGGCGGGGGTGGGGTGGGGGGGGAGTAAGGAGCAGAGAGCCGCCAAGATAAAATTCCAGATACAATTCCAGCTCCGTCCTGCCCCCCATCTGCCTCCTCAAACGCTGTTTTTCTCGAGACACTTGCTTAAGTTTCCAATCTTTACACCTCCCCGCCCCTTTGCTTCTTTTCACAGCCATGCTTCTTCTCATATTCACGCCTCAAACCTTGGCCATGCGGATTTGAGTCCACATGACTGAAACCAGTTTCCTTAGAGCCACCACCAAAACCCTCATGCAAAGTTCAAGGTCTTCCCAGAATGTATTATTCTTAGCTTTTCTGGCGTATTCGATATTGCCACATCCTCTATTAAACTTTTTTCTTTTGAATTTTTTTGTATTTCTGTAGCAGTAAAACCACCGCTACAAAAGTTTCGAACCTTCTCGAAGTCTATAGCTCTTTTTCTTAGATCTGAGGCTTAAATATAGTAGTAGTTATGCTTCCATCTTTTTCTCTTCTCATTTCTGCCGTCTGGCTCTGGCCCTCCCCGACACACCTGTAGCTTCTGTTGAGTGTTTCCTGGCCAGACCTCTTACAGAGATGTGCAACTTCCTGTGCCTCTAGGTGGCACAGGGGCGCCTCAGTTTCCGTTAGCACACTCAGCGTTTACCCCACCTAAGTCTGCTCTGTTCCAATATTGCCTCTACCCTTTTATTGGATTGCCTTCTCCCAGTTTCTCAAGTTGGAAACCAGCAAAATGTGCTCTGTTCTTTTTCTTTTCCCGTCTCCAGTTAGTCAGTAAATACTGTATATTCTTTCCATTCCTTATATCTGTCCCTTTCTGCCCAGCCTCATTAAACTTTTTTATTTTAAGACAGAGTCTCATTTTGTCACCCTGGGTAGAGTGCCATGCTGTCATAGCTCACAGTAACCTCAAACTCTTGGGTGCAAGAGATCCTCTTGCCTCAGCCTCTGAAGTAGCTTGGACTATAGGCACCCGCCACAACGCCTGGCTATTTTTTAGAGACAGGGTCTCACTCTTGCTCAGGCTGATCTCTGACCCCTGAACTCAAGCCATCCACTCACCTCAGCCTTCCAGAGTGTTAGGATTATAGGCGTGAGCCACCACACCCAGTCCTCATTTCACTCTTGATATCAAGCGCAAATTAGTAGCATTAATTGGGTTGTAGGATCTCCAAAGTGTTTGTTTTCAAATGTAAATCTAATTTTCTCACCCAGCTTCCCCTTTTTATTTTCCCATTTAGAAAAGAGTTGCAAATACTAGCCATCATTCATATGTGTTCAGTGTTTATTCAGTAAAGCCTGAGCACCTACCTACTGTGTACGGGATTCATGACTGAAAGATAGACAGGGATTCCAGAGCTTGTGGTGCTACGTTGTATGATGTCCTCCACAAGCTCCCCGTTACTTAGGGATCTGATCATCCCTGCCAGTGTTGTACAGGCAACCCGACTCCACGAGTGCCAAGTACTTGGGTTCCCAGACCTTTTTTCAGTGCCTCCTGGATATTCGTTTTAGAAATCCCGTCCACTATGTTCATCTGCACTCTCTTCCCCCCAGCCTTCTTCCAGGGGGTCCTTTGTAACCTCTTGGGTTTCCTTCTTTATAATGGATTTCCTGTCCATTCTCATTGTGCGGCTGTCACAGCCCATGGAAATACTACCATCTTGGAAGCATTTCCCTATGGCACTTACAACTGTGAAGCCATCTCCCATTCTTTCCTTTCTTACAGCAGTGACCTTGCTTAGAGCGTCATTCTGGCCTTTGTGCCTCCCACATTGTAGGCAATGAGTAAATGTTTGTGAATGAACCTGTGAGGGTCTGTGGTGAAATCCTTTCCAGTCAATGTCATGTCATAGACCAGCCTGAGAGTTGGGCCTTTTAGAGATAGGATTCTTTCCTTGGGCCAGGTGCCTAACATAATCAAGAAGGAAGAAATCATGCGTCTTGAGATGCTGTTAAACTGTTGGGATGTTTTCTATTTATGCACATATTATCCCGTTAGATATCTTTTGTTAGCTCATGCACCTGCTGTGCCTCAAATATCATCCCCTGCCAGAAAGATTGGAAAATGTTTAAGTATTAGAATAAAATCATGATTATTGTAAATGTTCTTTAAAAATTAAATCTATGGTATATATTATATATGTATATATTTATATTTATTATATATGCACACATTTTTTGTATATATTTATATTAATTTTTATGTTTTTATTTGTGGTGCAATATATTTTGTGACAAGTGTAGTCCATCTTCCCTGGATGCAACCTGTTGGTAAAAGTCTGTTAATCATTAAAGGCAGATTTAGTGTCACAGAAAAAAATGCACTACTTAGAAAATCAGCAACTTGTTTCCTGCTGAGGATGAGTCAGTAAAAGCTTGAAATAAAAAGACGCAGTGACTGAATTGAAGTCACAGAAACATATTTCTGGAATCGCAAGTAGCATATGCTGGTGCTTATGAACCAAAAATATGCATTTTATGAGTAATTCATAATATCCAAGTTCACTTTTGAAACTTATCCTTGATGTTTCTATTACTTCAAATTTGTGAATTTCTGTCACCCCAGAGCCTTATAATTTACTCTGCAAAAAGGGCTAAACTTTTTACACAGTCTTTAAAGGGTGGTAGCACTTTCTTTCATTTCATTTCATCGTAGATGGCTGATGAATTGAGTTAAAGACTTAAAGAGCAATTTCAATACCTTGATTTTCCATTTCAGAAAATTAAGGCACAGTGATCTGAAGGACTTTCTTGATCCTGGGGAGTTACTGGTGGAATCTTCCAGGGCTGCTCCTGTTACCAAGCAGATGATTATGAACTTTTTTCCCAGATAAAATCAGTAAATCATAAATCAAACTTGTGTACTCTCTGTGTGTTAATCAAGGTTCCTACCTGATCCCGCTTCCGGCGGCAGAACTAGTCAACTGTGCAGATCTGGGGACCCTCTGTCAAGGTAGGGAGCCAACGTCATCCTCTGGAGTCTCTGTGTTTCCCACGTGCTATTTTGGGAATGTAGTTGTCATTGTTTTGATTTTTCTTTTAATTTTCACTTGGAAAGCCACCAAAACAGCAGAACAGAAGAATTTCTGGATGTTTTTTAGTTGTGTGGGTGCACAGTACGTACAGTGTAGAGAAAGAATGTGTTCACACCCTGGATGACCACATTTCCATAAAGCACTGCATTTTTAAAAACGTGAATAACTATATGTTACTGAATAAGGGTTGATTATAATTTTTTCCCCTAGTTCTTCTCTAGAATATTGAAAAGTTCAGTGTAAATATAATGGAACAATATTTTGAAAAAGTATTTATGTCTGTAAAACAAGGGTAAATTAAGTTCAATATTCAGTTAAGTTTAAGACAAGGCATTGAGGAATTTATGATATGAAATAAAACTTAAATCTTAAAATAATAATGGTTATACTAAACCGATATTAATGTAACTATACTAATTATTATGATGCTTAATGACTAGAGTTTGGTCAGTATTACAGTTATATATTATGTTCTAAGTAGTTGCATGCTAAATAATATGTAATTAAAATTATACAAGTTTTAAAATAATAATGTAGATATTTTGCTTTAATTTTATCATTGCGCCTCCTAATTTACTCATGACCCTTTTCATCCATTCATTCTATTAAATACTTCCTTAGGAAGTAGCATATTCTATGTACCACATTAAGAATCATGGTCACGCCTTCTGTAAATTCTGGGTCACTTATTAACATGATCACGGCACAGGGGTGACAAGGTTAGACGTGAGAATCAAGAAGCTTTCTGCTCTGGTTCCAGTGTGGGAGTTAGGCTGGGGGGCTAGGCTGGGTTATTATCTTTGTTTTCCTTTTAGAGACATTATTTCTCTAATACTGTTATTGATCAATACCCTATAAAAATTAAGTTATTAAGTAGTTTCTTTCTATAACTCAAGTTTAGATTTTGGTTTTTGTCTGCTTTTTAGAGATAACTTATTCTGTTTCCCAGGCTGGAGTGCAGTGGCATGATCATAGCTCACTGCAGTCTAGAATGCCTGGGAACAAGTGATCCTCCTGCTTCAGACCCAATAGTAGCTAGGACTATAGGTGTGCACTCCTATGCTTAGCCGAATTTTTTCTTTTTTTTCCTTTTTGTAGACACAGGGTCTCTCTATGTCGCCCAGGTTTGTCTCAAACTCTGGGTCCCAAGCAATCTTCTTACCTAGGCCTCTCAAAGTTCTGGGATTACAGAAGTGAGCCTCTGTACCTAACTGCAGTGCAGTTTTATCATAGTTATAGTTAGTGGACCAAAATAACCTTAATTTTGTTTAGTTCAAGATCTGAAGATTTGTTTTAAAAACTAAAAAAAAAAAAAAAAAAAAACTTAATCATTTAATCTAATATCTGTAGTACTTATTCTTTGGCTCAAGGGACCAGATCCCCAGATGTCTTTTTTTTTTTCTGTCATCATCTACTGAGGGTGAAAGAGTCTCACTTTGTCACCCTTGGTTGAATACTTTGGCATCATAGCTCACAGCAACCTCAAACTCTTGAGGTCAAGTGACTCTCTTTCCTCAGCCTCCCAAGTAGCTGGGATTACAGGTGCCTACCACATGCCCAGCTGTTTTTAGAGACAGGGTCTCACTCTGGCTCAGGCTGGTCTTGAACTCATGAGCTCAGTCTGCCTCATCCTCCCAGAGTGCTAGGATTATAGGTGTGAGCTATCATGCTCTGCCCCAAATGTCTTTTTTTTTGTTTTTCTCCCTATGTCCTAAGTGATTAAAGAGCATTTTGCCAATAGACCATGTAGTCAGACAAACATACTTGATGGTTCATAATAAAGACTTCAAAAAGAATATTCTTAAGTATCATATATTACTTTGTGATAGGATAGAAAATTATCTTAATTAAGATGCACATATGATTCATAGAATTCAGTAGTTTATACAAAAGCTTTGGAAGATAATCCTTGTAATCACTTAAATAGTAAAATGTTTTAAATTTAGGTAGTTTTTTTTAAATTAGGAGAAATATAGAATGGCCATTGAATACTATGTGTGTATTCAATGTGTGTGTATGAATGTGCATCTAATATAAATGTCCGTGTAAGATAAACTAAAGGAAACTTACGTGTATCTTTTGTTTCTTAGATAGTTCTACTAGAATCCCTTAGAAAGATATTTTCAGATCATTACATAAAGGCTTAATGTTTGGGAATTTTAATAGTATGAGAAATGTAACTATGACCTAAGTCTGTAAGGCTTGCCCTGTGAGGTACTTTTTATTCATCAGTATTTAGTGGATAAAAAGTGAGATCTTTAGATGACTTATTTAGTCTATGTATTTCATTCTCTTTTTTTGTTTGTTTTTCTTTATACTTCTCAAGAAGAGGATACATTTTCTTCTGAAATTTTATTTCACTAGTCTCAGTATATTAGGTCGACAGATACAGTTTCAGTAACTTCAAGCCATTGAAACAGACTGTTTCAATGTACAACTGTACAGACTGCTTTGGTAACTTTTTCTTTTTACAAACCCAAGAAACTGAATTCTGGAAAGGTTTAGTAATTTGCTGTGTGATTGCCAACCTGTTAATGGCAGACCTAGCTCTAGAGTTAAGCCTCTCAGGGTCCTTTCTCCAGACCCTTTGTGCCAGATCCAGACCCTTGTACAGTATGGCACCAAATGCCATGTGAACTGATTCTTAATGTGCCATGGAAGCCTTGCCTCATTTCATGCATTATAACTTTGGAGTCTATTGTATTTAGTGGCCAGAGTGGGTTTCCATTCCTCCTCTATGTATTTTCATGCATTAATTATAGATTGCTTATCCATATTAACTGTCATGTGCTACTTGCAAAATTACATCTTTTTCATCTCTATTACCAGCTACTGTAAGCCCTCCTAGTACCGCACCACCCATTGTCACCACTAACATGCCTGTTACTAATAGACTCGATATACAAACAAATGGTAAGGAATCATCAACTTTTCTATTTTTACTATGTCTAACATAGAAAATTTTTGTCTAAGGGTGGGAATATGTAACGGCACCAACAAAGTTTATTGAAGTCGAAGAGTATATTTTGTATCCTTGCAAGACTAGTGAACAAATACTCCTTAATACTTTTGAGTTCTCCACTGTTAATGACCCGCGAAGCAAGTTACATTTCCAGTGCATCTCGTTTGCAGTTTTAACTGCACTTTCATAAGTTATAAGAGGAAGATATTTAATTAAAAGGAATTGATTTGCATTGTAATAGAGATAGGAGAAAAAAAATTGTCAGATTATTCTCTTTAGGAAAACTACTGTTTAAAGGATTTTATACATTTCAAAAAACTCATTTTAGTAATTTCTCATCAAAGTGAAATGCATAGTCATTCATTTGTAACATTTAAATAAATGTCCATAGTAATTTTTGCTTGTTGAAGAATAATGGTTAGATGTGAAAACCCCACACTGTACCCCAGAAGTGCATTAATGTACATAGTTACCATTCAATTAAAAAAAAAAAAGAATAATGGTTAGACTGTGATAACGTATCAACTAAATCTATTTTTTTTTTTTGAGACAGAGTTTCACTTAGTTACCCTCAGTAGAGTGCTGTGGTGTCACAGCTCACAGCAACCTCAAACTCTTGGACTCAAGTGATCCTCTTCCCTCAGCCTTCCAAGTAGCTGGGACTACAGGACTATAGGTAGCTAGGACTATAATGCCTGGCTATATTTTAGAGACTGGGTATGGCTGTGGCTCAGGCTGGTCTTGTGAGAACTCGTGAGCTCAGACAATCCATCCACCTCAGCCTCCCATGTGCTGGGATTACAGGCGTGAGCCTCCATACCCAGGCTGACTAGATCTATTTTTAATGACAAAAATCAAAGTTATTTCCAATACTTCATGCTTTTTTATCCATATATACCTTTCTATTTATATTATTTGCAATTATCAAATATAGCAGTTATATAAGGTGAGAAATGGCAGAGGAAAAGTCAGGTGAATTGAGTTAATTTTTAATCTTCTATAGGGACCACCTACAGAGCTTTTTGGTAATTCAGAGTTAGTGATTTCAGTTCCTCCTAGTAAAGATAAATTCCAATCAGGTGATAACACCACTGCTTTGACTACAGTAATATTCTCAAATATGAGATACTGGAAACAAAGAAAGTTTCTAAACGCCAATCATTTAGCTTGTGAGGCCAAGACATCTGTAATGTATCACCAGGGACCCAAATCCAGAGAAAAGAAACCCACATAGTTTTTT